TGTGGTAATGTTAATTGTTGAAGGGTAGAACAGAAATGCAGCGTTTCTTGCAAACTAATTCGTGAATTGGTTATCCAACACAAAATATTTATTTATTGCAGCGATAGGTGATATTGGCCCATTCGGTAGATAATTGTGTCAAAAGTGATACAGAAGAAACCTTTTTTCTGTATATTGTCGTTAATAAACGATATCGTTACGGTAACGATTTAATATTGAACGACAGCTATATTCTGTAACACTGTTATATGTTATATGCCATACGGAATAGAGAGAGTCGTTGCCGAACGATAACCGCTGTGTAACGATAGCGTTACACGTTAGAGAATATAGGCCCCTTAGTGTTCTTTTTGTCCCTCATTTTCAGTTGGATATTTTTCTATTGGCTATTTCTTCATCTGTGTGATTCATTTCAAACACCCAAACCCACTGCTATACGTGTCGGCACTATTGTATTTTAAATACAATACAATAATACAATAAGATTTCAATCTTAGAGATTGTAGATTGTGCTAGTGTTGCCTAAAAATCTCTAGGGGCGGCAGATCAGGGGAAAGAGGCACCGACCCCTTAATTCAACTGGGAAAAAGTGTTTGTTCTACGTAGAGCCGGGAACATCACGAAAACAGATTTAATTTTTTAGAATAGTTAGCTCCCTTCTTCTTTCCAAACAATTAAATGGCAAGGGACCGTTGATTCTTACCATTACGTTTTTTCTTTAATTTTTTCGCAATATGATTATGATGCCATTTAAAGGAACCATCAATGAATTATGTTGTAAAATTGTTTATTATTGAAGTCGGGAATTGTGATTATATTTTTAACAATTTGGTGTAGTAGGCGTTTACAAAACGTCAAAATATTTAATTTACGGTTCGCTTAATAGATTTATACCTAATAAAGAATCATGTTGTACACATACCTCTTTGTATAGGTATAATAAAAAATGCTACTCAATACAGTATGTACTTTTTTCCAGTCCATATAAAATATGAAGTTGATTATGGTGTCTCATAGACGAAACGTCGCAATAAAAATCTGTGGGCACCATCTTGTAGAGCTTAAAAAGTACCTATGAAGAAGTAAATTTGGTTTTTGATATCTTTTCAAACAGGACAAGAATACAATAAAAACGAATAGGGTTAATTTCGTTTTTTTTGGAATATTTTTAGAACTGGTCGGAATTTCCGAATTTTTAGGACATCATTTGACTAAAATACACAATTTTTTTCTAATAGAATCAACGTGTATCTCTTATCGTTTTCGAATTCCCCATGACGTTAATTTTTATCTTATAGACACATTGTATTTACATCGTTTTAGGAGACTAACCTACTATAAATCCCGTCAAGAAGCCATTACACATCCTTGTAGCACATTTCCAAAAATTATAGATATGAGCTATATATTGTTCATAAAACTACATTTCCGATTTCATTTGATTCTTATGCACTAAGTGGTAGATGGGATTAAAACGCCATTTTTTTTTAAATAAACTGGATATCCAAATTGTTTCTTCTGGGAGCTAAATCCCAATATTTGCTTTTCCTATATTAAGATGGGCTAATCTTTGAGCAGATCCAGATTAGTTTTGGAATATTTAAAAAAATTTCAACTGTAATATTGAGCAAACGAAAAAATACTTAAATTTCTAATTATTCTGAAGGGCAAAAGACACGTCATATGAAAGATACTTGAGACGCGTCACATTAAAAACACTGCCTTCGGTTTACATTCGATGCATCTATGTACAACGAGTTTTTGACGATATGTGAGGTGAATCGAATATACTTAGTATATTGCCAGGATAAAATGCAAATAATCTTTTTTTGAAAAGTCGGATGAAAAACTATTCGACAGTTTTGTGCTGAAATAAATAGAGATTGTAATCACCAAATTTCATGAAATTCTGGCCATTTTTTTGTGGCTTGACCAAGAATTGCAGATTTTCTCGAAACCAGATACCTACTTATCTCCCCTATTTTGAAAATATTTAAATGTAAACTCAGTGAGGGTACATCTAATAATCTAGGCAAAGGTTCTAGCGTTCCATCTTTCTATATATTATGCGTAGTAGTAGAGGGAAATGTGTCAAAACATTAGTTTGTTTCTGCATTTAGTAGATTAAAATTCTATTTGATCTTCTACTGTCCACTGTTAATGATTTTCTGAAACGAGCAGTAGAAACAATAATTCAATACCTAATAATTCGCGTGAGATAGATGACTGGTTCAGATAGACTCCCCTTTGAAAAACTACAATGCTACGTTTTAAATTACTCCCTCAAAGTTGCCATGAATCCAAATATTGGATTTTCTGTATGTCGCGTAGGAAACTCAATCGCATTGGCGTTTACGTTTGATCACAAACTTTTTGCCAATAATTGACGTCACACACGTTCGAAAGGGAATGTGAAAAGCTGGAAAACTAAACACTGCCTTATACTCTTCAATAAAATTTTGCGGTGATGCAGCACTTTTTTAGTATTGAAATTTCTTGGAATGTTAATGGTCTGCAATTATTTTTAGTTCTTCACTTATGCCTTACCGTATTTCCCAAATATCTGACGTAAAATGTGTCACCCAAAAAATAACATTGCGGTGGCACATTCTTTTTCAATTGCAGCACAAAATTGAATATCTATTGAATAAATGTGGTTTAAAATAATCGGGAACCTCTCCGTAATAAAAATGAAATTATAGCCTGACATTTAGTGCGTGCTAATCCTAATGTTTATTTTTACAAGGGCACTGGAAATAAACACGAGGGAATTCCGTTCCGATCTTTCTGAATGTTTTGCAGACGTTAAGTTACCGTTAGTTTTTTTTAGGGGCCATGAGTAATGACGGTTTGTAATTAATTGGTGCGCGATTTTGATAAAGGAGGTTCCCAGGGATTAAAGTCCAACAGGAGATTGTGTTATCTTATCGGTGCAATTTTTTCGTCATTTGTAATTAAATATTGGTCCAGCGTTTCAATGTGTGTCATATTAATTGATGCAAAGCGAGCGTCTCGTATCAATTAACGCAATGAGTTTGGTACATGGAATCCGTTCGGAGCGTGTGTCATCATCGGCAGCGTTAGAGCTGCGATCTGAAGTTTAGTTCCGGGAATGGACACGATGACGAAAGCGGGAGTTTCTTGATACCCGGAAGCGTCGAGGCGTCGATACGTTAGCACTCTTATGTATAGAAATAAGTTAACCACCTCTCCTCATTGACTTAGTATTTTGCTCTTAGCTGAGTACCCGTGGTAGGGGGCAGTGTGTTTTATCAATGGAGGGAGGAGCTGTCCGCTGGGTCCACCCTTGGATTTTAGTACACACGGATATTATCCTTCCAAGATATATATTCGTCAGTTGACGATTCAAACAGTACCATTACGTTTCGGTAGTTATACAGGTGATCTCTTAATCCCGGTGTACGACCTACACCAACATTAATAATTCTGAAAGCTAAGTGCCATGTTAAGTGATAGTGTCATGTATACAAACGATAATAATTACACTCCGTGTGGCCATATCGTGGGGATGCTCGATAGAGACGAAAGGACAGCAAAATTAAGGTGTCATTCTATACGTGAAACCAAATTATCTTCAGTAAATCATAGTCACAGTCACTATTGTGTGCACTCGCGTAATCATAAACATTCACACGATATTATTAATCACCGCCACTTAGTCAATTCTAGACGTCCACACTTCAGGAGCCGAAAAAATAGTTACTTGTGGAATACAATAAGACGTAAGTTTATACCATTTATTTATTTATTCACTATCCGGTATAATGTGATAGAATATCCGAAGTTGGAAAGGCGGAGCGACAATCAACAGGTGGCCAATCGCAATGTGGAAGCCCAATACGATCAAACTATTCATTACACTTTATTATAGAATTCTGCCGGTAAACACGTGCAAATCTTGTAATTTGTTTACTCAAACCGGCAATTTGTTAGTCACAACGTACTGTTGCAGTGAAGCTCGCGTTACATACATCAAAATTACACAGCGTGTCCTTTTTGTCTAATACTCGGAACGACTTGCTGTTTTAGCCGAAACCGAAAGGTAGTACAATTAGAATGAATCATAAATCACAAAATGAAGCACGGGAAACTTTGTTGAGTCAATCAATAAATTAACCTTCTCGTAACTGCCAGGTTTTATTTAAATACGCGCGCCGAAAGCTAACACTTTACCTTATAAATTGCCACAGTTAAAGAGTATATGTAACACTCGGTAATATTCTTCTTTGTACAACAATTACGGAATACCTCCTGTAACGACTTTAATTAAATTACTTTTCGCTATTTAATCCTACATAACAGTTACATAAATTACTACGAGATAAACATAATTCGATGCACCTGCAACAGTTTTTCCTCTGTTATAATTTTATAAAAATGTCGTAAATAGTTAAGAATGAAACATTAAAGAAAATTAACCGGTAATTATTGGCTATTATAGCCGTAAACGAAACTTTACAGCCTATTTCAAGTATTTTTGCAGCAAATAGATCAACCGGGACACCTGTTCTTAACATTATCAGGTTTTTAAATTGTTATACGACATATTTGTCCAACTCGGCAAGCGACATTTTGCACAAATCAATCCGTGTATCATTCAATTGACGCCAAAAGGTCCGCAAGGTGTAGCGGTGGGTCCAATTTGTTCATCCAAGATTAGAAATTAATAGTTCTGCCCTCCGGGACAAACACTTGTGATGCTCGCTAATGATGAACAGGTAGTCCTTTTTTTGGTGAAGATTTGATAATGGAATGAGACAGGGGCAACACGCGAATGGGCCACCTTGTCCTTGCATTACTAGTCTGGCCGGGCACGAGGTCATCCGTGTCGTGTCTTGCCCCAACACATTCTCACGCTCTGGCGCCCTTTCTGATGTTTGTCCAGAAACGTGTATATTTATATAGCATGTGTCGTTTATTTCTAAATGTCGCCGACAAATATTACTACGTGCCTCTTATTTGTTATCTCTTCTTTACAGGATTACATCAAGTTTTAATAGTCGGAATATACCTAATAAGTTTAGTGAGCGTTCCTTATACACTTTCGGCCCCAACAAGATTACAAGACATGACCGACACAGACCAGCCTAAATGGATTAATCCGTGCGGGATCGATATGGGATCCGTTTTGCATACGCTAAATATCGAAGTGCCAAAAGTGTCCGACTTAGACTTACTAACCTCCATTATAAATCAGGCCAGGATTGCACTGTCAAAGGCGAATCAGTTCAAGGACGAGTTTGTAAGTAATCATTTTTTTCAATTTGGAAAAATTAATGGGGCTTAAGAAATATTTTGGTTTTTTATGAGTTTGTTATAATTGGGGAAACGAAATGGGAAAAACGCGTTCGACGTCGACGCTTGAATCAATATTATTTTAACGCCGGCCTAAAATTATTAATTAGTAAACAAACTAATTGGTTAAATCGATTTTAAGTACATAGTATGAAAATAAAACATCGTTCATTCATTAACGGCTCTTTACTAATACTATAAATCAATTAGTATGCATATACCGCCTTATATTATACCGTCCGTTGATGTCTGATTACACACTATCATATTTTTCGTCTCTATTACTTCCCGCTGAAGTATATGTCGATTCTTGTCAATCGGATATAAATACCTTGCGTCTTTGTCACATCCGGTAAAATCGTGTCCGCTGATGGGTTTTCCTTCGTCTTTAATGGATAAGGTATTGTTTCGAGTTAATTAATTTGTATTTGAGAGGAAGGCAGGGTAGTAGGTATGTGATATAATTACAAACACGTGCGTGTTATTAATGCTCCATACTTTTTGAAATCAAAACAGTGCAGTGTAGACGTCGCGATGTCTACTACGATCCACCCACGCGCTTTCAGGGCGTCATGCTGTCTGCTCAAACCGGGTCATTGCGTTCCTTTCCCATTCGTGTTGTATAATTACTTGCGGGTTATCGCAATTCGCGGTTGCGGGGTTACACCCTCTAATCTCAACCGTCCGTTTTCACGTGGCATTCTCGAGACTGCTGCAGGTGCATGACTTAAGGTCAGAATTGTTTTGATAGTGCAATTCCTGATCGCGTATCTCTAAACATCGCACCACCGCATTCCATTCATTCTCACATCCTTATCTGAATTTCTAGGTCGTTGAAACTAAATTCGTAAACAAACCGGGAGATTATTTACTACTAATACGTCGTAAGCGATTTCGTGTGCATAACCTTGTGAGAGTGAATGCACTTTTACTTGGTACCTTTTTTTACTTAAAAGGTACATCTCCAAATTTGTCATCAACTCAACTCTTCAGTCACGCAACATCTCGGATCTAATTGGCTAGATAATCATACCGTGGGGCAAGTTTTTATGGGGCGAGTGAACATGAGACCATGCACCAAATTCGATGATTAATTAATTGGCTTCCTCTAAATTGTTATGCGAGAAAAACTTGGTGACTATAAATAAGGCAAATTTAGTAATTACTGGTAATAGAGGGCAAATTCATTATTAAAACGTTACACATCCCTGCAGCTAGAATAAATTGCGTAGTTGTCCACTCGAAGTTCGAAGAAGACCTTAGCTCCGCGTGGGATACTGTTTATATGACGTGTGCGCCTCTACTTCGCGAGTTCAGGGAACTTTTAACTCGCGAAACCAACAATTATATTTTGATTTAACCGCACTCATTATTTCAATTAGTTTCAATTACGAAATTGGTTGCAGGCACAACAAATATTCAAGTCAAACCTCGAACAACTGCACAAAAATTGGAAACAAGCGAGGTACGAGTGGCTACCGCAGGAATCGCAGATACCCAAGAATCTCAACGAAGCCGTTTCCGAAGAGCATCTAGAAATGCTCAAGGTAAACGAAACCCACTTCTAACAAAGTACCCTTAACTAATTGCCGACTATTACAGATGGATAACGCCTTGGTGGACACATACGAGCACCTCCAGAAGATAGCGGTTGGGTTGGAACAAGTGGTCCTCGACCAAGAGCGCGAACGTGGCCCGCTGGTCGAAAACTTTAAGCAATCTGAACTCAATCTCCGCTTGGTTCTTTGCGAACTACAAATGGCTACTTACGAGAGGGGCATTCACAATAAATTACACCCCGACGTCACCAGAGACCTAATGCCAGATTACTTAAGAAACGACAACGTGAATACTTCCAGAAATCTACGCGACTGGATCATATACAGAGATTACATGAACACGTTGGAATATGTGATACAAGTTTTTGATTATTTCAAAAGCAAGCTATGAAGAGTATTATATCCAAATTTTGGAAATGTCGATGTTGTTGCCTTTGATGTGTAGACATTACCTAAATTAGGTGCAGCTGGAACTCTTAACTAATTTTCGGGGCTTTTATCACAGCAATTTTAAATTATTGTTAGACATAGATTATTTATTGTATATATTATGATAACGTATTATTTTATTATTTATACATTATTTATAAGATTTAACAGTATTGATTTATATGGACATCTGTGCAGAACTTGCAAATTGTCACTCCATAAATTGTCCCAGTTTCGTTTCTATAGAAACTTAAGTTCTGCCTGTCTTTTTAACTATACTTCTGTGATAAAGTGGGCTATATATATAAATTACATATTTATTGTTGGTAAATAAGTCGTTTTATTGCTCCTAATTGTAATAAGCTTGACATGTAAAAATATATCATAACTTCCCTTGGCTTAAAGTACGTAGGTACACATCCATATTTAGAGAGGATTCCGCCGAACGATTTACGTCGATCTGTATGTGGAGAAATGCAATTAGGTATAGAAGGATGTATTAAAAAAAGGGACATGAATGCATACAAAGTGGATTTTCTGTTTAAAAATAGTACTACCTAGGTATTCGAAATTATTAAAATCGGTGGTTATTTTCCTAAATTCTATACCTACTTCGAGACCAACTTCTATAAATTACATAGCCTGTACATCTGTACCTGCATTTCTGTTACGACTTACGACCCTTCACGTACACACCTTGGTTCGAGCTTTGTACTGTACGCACATCGCCCAACACGAATTCATGCAAAGCTCAAACATGAAGGGGACAGACGAGCCGCACTTGTTTGCAACTTGGCAGGCTCGTGTTGGTGTTTTTGAATCTGTCGGAAAACTTGGCGCGGTACGAAGCTGGTGTGCGTTTAAAGTTGCGTTGCAACGTGGTAGTCCAATTACGAGCACTAATACAAGGTTCGAAATAAGGCACAATATATTCATTATATTGGATTGAATGACACAGTAAAAGCAAAACTTTCGATGGCGCCTTCAAAAAAATATATTGTAAGCATTTTAACGAATTAATTCCAACATGTCTATTAAATGTCTGCATATCCATCCCGAAGTAATTTTGGTAATCTTCAGAGTGATCTTTCATTAGATGAATATCACTGGCAGCAACTCGTTTTTTGTACCAGCCGGCACCCCTTGATCCAGTATCTTTTTTCTTCCATTTGTTACTTTTCATAATGATCTAAGAGAACTATTGCTGCTCCTTTTTCCTTTTCTATTGCACTCATTAATCCACCATTTTTAACATATTTACACTTGGTGTACTCCCGAACAACGATTGAACGTGTTATGAAGGGTATGATACTCGTGCAATTCTCGCCAGCATTGATGTCATGCAAAGCTCGAACCGACGAGCCCCATTTTTTTGCAACTTAGCTCATGCGCATGTTTTCGATTTGAAATCTGTTGGAAAATTTGGCGCGACCCGAAGAGTTGCAACCATGTTGCAACGCGTGTAATCCGATAACGATCACAAATACAAGGTTCGGAATTAAATTAAAGACACAATATCTTATACACTTCCCATAGTCCGAACAACAATTTAACGTGAAGGGTAATGGTACTCATACAATGCTCGCCAGCATGTCAAACAAAGCCGAAGCGAAGTGCGCACGTGTAGGGTTGCCTTAAGTTGCATGTTTATCACATCTTGAAACGTGCTGCATAAACTCTTCCACTGCAATTGTTGCGTATGTGAATAGCGATTGGGCAATTAGAAATCTCCCAAAAATCCCGTATACTTTTTAAAGTTGTGAAACGTTTAATGGTCCGAAAATTTCACCTTTCGCTTTAGTTAGTTAAGTAGAAAATTTCAAATTTCGACCTTGATTGATTAATTTTTCTATTTTAGTTCGCGGGGTAAGTCACGTAGAATATAACTTCAAGGTTCAGGAAACGACTAAACAGTTATACACAACACATTCCGTACTGACGCCATCACTCTCGACATCCGGAAGTCGTCACACGGAAAGGACAACTTGAAAACCTGCTTTCGTACCGCTCTCCCTTTGGCTCGCCCTTAAAGTTTCATCATTGTTCACTAATTAATTGACCGTCACGGTCTATAAACTATTAATACTAGGTACTCATTTGGTTCGTATATGGGTGATGGTCTTTTAGTCTAATTCCACACGCAAAATTGGGTAGAATGTATTTTTTAAGCAAAATAAAAAAAAGGGCATCAGTTATACTTACGCATTCCACGGTATTGCGCTTACAAGAAATCAATACGTATAGGGGATAATGTGTTATAAGGCACCTCGAAATTGCAACACCAAGAAGGTATTTTTTATCAAACTTTGCCAGGCCATTTATAACTATCCCACGCTAATAACTGGCTACTAATTGTTTAGGGAATAGAGTCAAGCCAATCTCCGATCAGATCAATGGATTTCCAACGAAGTTCACCGGCACATGGCACCCATATGAGTGTGAGACCAAGACGTGGGAAAGGGCGTGTTTCGTATCCTGTACTATACCGGAGTGTATAAGTATGGGATGCTATAGGTTCCGTTTGGTATTCACTGGAGGCAACCTCAATTCCCATCGATATATTTACGAAGTACTAGAACCTCATATTGTTCTGTTTCTTCGGGAGCTTGGAAGTCCACTTTTTCAGTAAGACAGTGCTCGTCCCCATATACGCTATACCCTGACTTGGAGAGACTAGAGACCAATGTTCGTCTCCTACCATCGCAGATAGATCTGTTACTTTTCGCCTATTTTCAACATGGGTGAGGCACTATGGATAAAAGATTGAGGAATTGAGAGAATCATTCACAGATGCTATGCAGGTAGCAGGTTGCTCGAGACACAATACTCGCAACACGAAATCGACCACCTACTGGAACAAACCAATTATTTACCGAAATAAACAAAATAAGTTCATCTTTGTTTTCCTTTTTATAATTTTAATGAATTGTTACTTTTGAGTAGTTAAACGTCTCGAAAGAAATTTGTTGTGTTGTAATTTCCATATGAGTGTGCATACAGTGTGTCAAAAGATGCACGCCTAGGTGTAACTTGTTTGAATCCCCAGTATGACCCTACACCAAAGTACACAACTGCGTAAATGCCGCGCAGAACAGTAAAATAAATGAAAATTGTTGCTTCATTTTTCGCCATTGAAAATGACTTCAAAAGCCCAAAACAACTAAACCTCTCGCCAGGAAAGATTGCCGGTCACAGAACACTTGATCCCGATCTGCAATCTATGTTTTTCTAAAGATGCGAGCGACATCCGGGATAGTATCGTGTCAATGTTGAACAAAAAGACTTTTCGTTCAATATCGGCATGATCCTATTCCGGAAGTCGCTCGCATCTTAAAGAAAAACATAGGTTATAGGTCGACACAAGGTGTGCTGTGACCGGCAATCTTTCCTGGCGAGAGTTATATACGTTTAAACATAAAATTTGCTTGCTTTATATTTAGAAACACTTTTTCAAATTTTATTTTAGAAATATAAAACTCAACTTGCTCAAGTTAACACGAAACTCAAAACTTTTTGGGTTAATAAACATACGTGACAAAAAACTAATTCTTATGTTATCTAAAATGATATTTTTGCTCCACCAAAAATTGTATTACGAGAAACTTGAATGGCGGCTAAATTCATTGGACACTGATAAAACCGAGGATAAAACACATCCAGTTTATCAACAGGTATCACAAAGTTCACATCAACGTCGTAAAATTTAAAAACTCGTGAGCCAAAACTACTCCATCTATCGGGTGTTAATGTGAAAAATACCCAAAAATTTAAATGGAAATGAAGAAACTTGTCCATAAAACACGAGGGAAAGTCATTGAAAAAGTGATACACTGCTATGTGATACTACAAGTAGCAGAAGCCATACACGTACCTAGGCAGTGTTAAAACGGCGACCATGCTTGAAGAACACTGTAGTGTTGTGGGTTTTTTTTCTGAGCAAAATTCCATACACTATAATATATTCATGGGCTCGACTATAAGAGCAAGCCGTACTTTTAGAAAACGGAAACACGATTGTGAAAGTCGGTAAGCTATTGTGGTGTATCAAAATTGGTAAATCCCTTCGCACTTGTACAAGTAATTAAGCATATTTTCTATAAGTGACCTTATGTAATATGGTACAATATTCTGGATATTTTAAAAATATTTTGAATTGTACAGTCTGGGATTATAAAGTAGTGGGTCAAATTAGATTTTTTAAATGGAAAACCGGTATTTACTTCCAAATTCTAACTTGACATGAAATTATAGATACGTCTTTTTACCACCCGCACGTTAGTAAGGGGGGTATTCCATTGGGGTAAAAAGTGATCCCCCACTTTTTTTACGGAAAAACACGTTTTGAAGCACTAGGAATCCGAATTAAATATTTTTATATGGATGGTATGTGATGCAGTTAATTTGTTTAAGTATCTTAACCAAGCAGGAAATTGAATTCTTTATAAAATCTGCTTTCCTCCCTCCTACCTGTTAGGATCTTAAAAAATCAAAAAAAGGCTAGGTACGTCTTTTTAGTAATGAGATCTTATACCTTCCACGTTGGTGTACTAATGAAGTTCATGTAGGTAAAAACAATATTTTTAATGAAAAATACGCTAAAATATCTTTTACACGCATATCAATACCAATGATGTCATCGTCAATGATTATTGATGACTATCAATAATATTCAGTTGTTTGTGGATGATGATAGCTTTGCTGTTGTAAAGCCTAATTTACATTTGGCAAGTTTACTGGCGGAAAGTACTGTCGCCCAGTAAACTTGCCACGTGTAAATGCGCAGAAAGTGCCAGTTAAATAGAAATAGGGTAGCAAGTTTACTGGCAGAAAGTACTTTCCGCCAGTAAACTTAAAATGTAAATTAGGCTTTACGCTTTCGATCATCCTATGCAATGCGCAAAGCCCAGTTTAAAAAACTGATAAGCAAGTCAGAATGCGTTTGCGCAGGTAAGTGACTCAGAAATTACTTTCCACTTTCAGGCTTAATAATAATAATAATAAATGCCTTTATTGAGTCAGTGATAAATATAATAAATGGTAAAGTTTCAGAGGCGAAGTTCAGCTCACAGAATGCGCTGCTCTTCCAATTAACCTCTGTTGAGAAACAAATCAGGCGTGATCATAATGTTACATAAGTTCTTAAAATTAATGCCGATAGGTAGTGAACTGCTGTAAATTGTTATTCATGAGCTTATTGTCTTTTTAAATACCTGGAAATTATAGCTTTACGGAATTTCTGAGTAGTGAATGATTTTAGATTCGTTGGTAGATGATTCCACAGGGTCGCTATGTTATAGGAGAAGGATCGCTTGTAGGTACATCGTAGTGCGG